CGGGAACATCTCTGTGCAGGGATGGACACCAGTGGGAACTGACACAGGGAACATCTCTGTGCAGGGATGGACACCAGTGGGAACTGCCACACGGGAACATCTCTGTACAGGGATGGACACCAGTGGGAACTGACACAGGGAACATCTCTGTGCAGGGATGGACACCAGTGGGAACTGCCACTCGGGAACATCTCTGTTTCCCGGCGGGGTGGGCGGGCAGGGGGCGCGGCCGGGGTGGAGCCTGTGCCGCAGGTACATCAGGGCAGGTGAGGCGGGCGGGCTGGACCCTCCGCAGCAGAGCTGCCGCTCCCTGCAGGTGAGGGACGGGGAAGCTCCACGGGATCCCCACGAGCTCCTGGCTGGAGATGCCCTGTGGGTGCTCCTGTGGGTGCTCCTGTGGGTGTCCCGTGGGTGTCCCCAAGCCCGGCCGGAGCCCAGCGCTGCTGTCTCGCCTTTGCCCCAGCGCTGACTCAGGCTCTTTACGCAAGAGCCCTGCTGGCAGGGGACTCTGGCCCTGGCCAAAGGGCAGGAGCAGCCCCTGTAAAGGCAGTGGGACAGAGCTCAGGCTCAGTTTTGTCACCGGGATTGCCAGCGGGGACATCTCCTGGAGCGCACAGGAGCTTGGAAATCCCCAGGAGCGGACTTGGACGTGCTGGTGGCAACATCTCCAGAGCTGACAGAGCCACTGTCCTTCCTTCCTCCCGCAGGCTGCTCCTGGACCATGGAATACGCCAAATCCCTGAGCCAGCGCCTGGCTGCCCCCGTGTCCAAGTAAGTGCCGTGTCCCCAGCGCGGGGGACATCCCCGCTGAGCTGCTGGCACTGCCGGGGGGTTCTGCTGGCTGGCAGAACCCCCCGATCCCTGCAATCCCCGTGTCCCCTCCCCAGATGTGTCTCGGCCAGTGCCTCCGTGACCCAGCAGCTGCTGGCCGGCCCGGCCCCACGGCCCCGACCCTTCCGAGTCTGCAGCTGGGACCGCAGCCTGCGCAAGGGCGTCACGGCCCCGAGCCTCGCCGAGCTGCTGCGCCAGGTCTGCCTGCCCCCGGCTGTCTGTCTGGGCTCTGGCTGGCTGTCTGTCCGAGGCCTGCCCCAGCCCCGCTGACCCCCAGCCCCGCTGACCCCCAGCCCCCCTCACTGCAGGCTCAGAGCGCCCTGGCGCTGCCCGTGCCCATCGCGCTGGTGCTGGATGAGGATGGCACGGCGGTGGAGACCGAGTCCTTCTTCCGCACGCTGGAGGAGGGCACGGCCCTGATGGCCCTGAGCAAGGGGCAGAGCTGGACTGCGCCCAAGGTGAGGGGACCCCTGGGGGGGTTCAGGTGATGGGCTCCAAACTTGCCCCAGGACTGACCCTGCTGGTGATGAACCCACCCCATGACTGACCCCTTGGGTGAGAAACCCCAAACCCATCCCAGGACTAACCCCATGGGTGACAAATCCCAAACCTGCCCCACGACTGACCCTGTAGGTGACAAATCCCAATCCCATTCAGAACTGACCCCATGGGTGACAAACGCCAAACCCACCCCATGACTGACCCTGTGAGTGAGAAACCCCAAACCCACCCCACGACTGACCCTGTAGGTGACAAATCCCAATCCCATTCAGAACTGACCCCACGGTTGACAAATCCCAAACTCACCTCAGAACTGACCCTGTAGGTGATGGACCCCAAACCCACCCCAGGACTGACCCCATGGGTTACACACCCCAGACCCACCCCAGGACTGACCCCATGGGTTACACACCCCAAACTCACCCCAGGACTGACCCCATGGGTTACACACCCCAAACTCACCTCAGGACTGCCCCCACGGGTGACAAACCCCAAGCCCACCCCCTGGCTGCCCCCCGAGAGGCTGCTTTGTCCCCCGTGGCCCACGCTGGCGCTGGGCCGGGGAGGCTGGTGGGCGACGCTGGTGCCGCTCCTGCAGACGCGTGGCTACCAGGCCAGCCTGTCCCGCAAGCCCCCGCGCAGGATCGACGTCGCCTGCGTCACTTTTGACCTGTACAAGACCCACCCCAAGGACCTGGGCTGCCTCAACGTCAAAGCCACCCTCTATGGCACCTACACCATGTCCTATGACCTGCGCTGCCACGGTGCCCGGCGCCTGGTCAAGTGAGTGCCGGGGGAGCTGGGGATGCTCTGGGGACGCTCTGGGGACGCTGCCACCCCCCCCGTGGCACGCTGACCCCTCTCTCCCTGCCTAGGGAAGCCCTGCGCTGGGCGCTGCTCAGCATGCAGGCCACGGGCCACGTCCTGCTGGGCACCTCGTGCTACATGCAGCAGCTGCTGGATGCCACCGAGGAGGAGCAGAAGGAGGAGGAGAAGAGCCCGCTGCCCCTCCAGAGCCTCCTGCCCCGCAGCCTCCCCGCCCTGCCCTACAAGAAGATGTCGCAGTGAGGCTGGCTGGCCTGGCCTGTCCCCTCTGCTGTCCCCCCCCGACCCTCGGGGGGTCCCAGCACCCCGCTAGGTCAATGCCTGGGCAGAGGCTGCCGCGGTGCCTGGCACAGCCTCTCCTGCACTCTGCTGGCTGAGTGTGGCCAAAGCTGCTCTGGAATAGCTGCTGCTCTGTAAATATATTTATTTAAGTAAAGTTCTCTGTAATTCAGCTGTGTTTTGTGTCATCTTTGGTGCGGGGGGGGACACGCAGGGCATTCAGCCCTTGCACTGCTTGGCACCCTGAGCTGGTGGTGCAAGATGTACAAGGAAGGAGCCTGTTGCAAGTGCTTCCCCAGGGGCGCTGCTGCCTTCATCCTCCTCCTCCTCCCTGGCACCAGAGCCTGGCTCCCATCCCCTGGCACAGAGCTGAGACTCCCCTGGCACTGCAGACACCCACAGTGCAGTGATGGGGCAAACCCCAAAGCCCCTGGCCTGTGGCAGTGGGCACCACGCCTGTCCTTGCTCCCTTTAGAGGGATGAAAGATCTCCCTGTTCCTTGTGCAGGGCTGGCACAGAGGGACATGGGGGGGTGTTCTGGTCCCTGGGGTCCCCAGCCCCGTTGGCAGCCCTGGGCAGGGGCACTGTGCCCACCCCAGCCTTGCACAACCCCCGGTGCTGCTGCTGGCCTGGCCAGGTCCAGGGGCATCCCAAGGGCCTGGCAGCTCCAGGGATAGCAGCTGGGAAACAGAGCTGGGGGCACTGGGCTCCAGTGACCTGGCCCTTGGGGACTGTCCCTGAGTGTCCCCAGAAAGATCCTGAAGCTCCAGCCCTGCCAGAGAGGGGAACTGCCCGCCTGTGCTGGACTGGGAATACTGGGATGGGCTGTGGGGAGGTGACAAGCCATGCTCGGGGGGTCCTTAGGGCCATCCTCCCTTAAGTGTCACACTGTGGGGGACACCTGACCCGAGCCACACTCACCTGGGCACCACAGCAGAGTCTGGAGCTGCACCCCAGGGGCTGCTCCAGGGGCAGAGACCTGAGCCCCACCCCGCACTTAATTAGCTGGGTAATTAATGAGCCATCAGCACCAGCTGAGCCCCATCTGAGCACAGAGGTGTGTGGGGGACAGCGTGGGGATGTCATGCCCCGCCCCTGCTGTCACCCCGCCATGTCCCCATGGCCCGGCCCCTCGGGGTGCTGTTGGTGGCCGTGCCAGCCCCCGCAGTGTCCCCCACCCCACACAGGTGTTTAGCAGACATATTTATTTCTGTACACACTTATACACACAGTTCTCGGGGCAGCTCCATCCTGCCTCCCTGCAGGGTCCGCTCTGCGGTGGGGACACCCCCAGATTCCCTGGGGTGCCGGGGCCAAGCCCGTGCCCCCCACACCCCCACCCCAGCCCCGTAGTGTCTACGGGAAACAGCCCCCAGGGCAGGGTCATGCACAGTCCTCCTGCCTCAGTTTCCCCCTAGGGCACAGGTGGGGGGCAACCCCCACCTCCAGTGTCCTCACCCCCCCAACCTGGGTGAACTTTGGGGCTCCAGGTGCCACAGCTGCCCCGGTGGAGCCTCCCGTGTGTGTGTGGGGGGCTCCTCCGTCACCCCGACCCCTGCACAGGGCGGGTGCCAGGCACCGGTTCCATCCCCATCCCCTGCAGCCCCCCGAGCGGCGCTGGGGGGCTCTGGGCGGGGGGGGATTGGGGGTTACTTGACGTGCTCGGCGGCGTGGGAGGAGCAGTAATACTTCTTGTGGGCGATGAAGGTGGACAGGCTGCTGAACTTGATGTTGCAGAGGCGACAGTACCTGTGGTTGCCGTTGGGCACCGCGGCGGGCGCAGCCTTGCCCGGCGAGGTCTGCACCCCCCTGTCCGTGTAGGCGGGGGGCGTGGGGGGCTTGCGGGCGGCTTCCCGCAGCGCCTCGGGGGCTGCGGGCGAGCCGGGCGAGCCGGGGGGCCGGGGGCTGTCCCGGCCCTCCTTGGCGGTCAGGCTGTCCCGGCGGAGGCGGGGGCCGGGCGGGCGCGGAGGGGACGCCGCGGGCAGCGGGGGCTCGGGCGTCCTGCTGGCACCGGGGGCCGGCGCGTCCGGCAGCCCCGGCACCACCGGCGGCTTGGCCACGAAGAGCCCGTGGGCGTTTCGGAAGTGCTCCAGGAGGTCACCCTTGATGGCCCCGTTGAGGGGACAGTAGGGACAGGCGGAGAGGGGACCCTTGGCCCCCGGCGGTGGCAGGGAACCCTTGGGGTGACGCTGCAGCGAGTCCGCCCCGGGGTAGGGCACGCCGGGGCTCCCCGCCGGGGTCGCCCTGAGCCGCACGCCGCCTTCGGGGTCCCCCTCGCCGGGGCTGCCGGGGCTGCGCCGGCCCTTGAGCGGGGTGGCCACGGTGCCCTTCATCTTCTGCAGGTGCTCCAGCGTGCGGGGCTGCAGCGGCGTGGCCGGGCACTGGTACTTCTTGTGCGCCAGGTACGCGTCCAGGCTGTTGAAGCTGATGCGGCACGCCGTGCACTCGTGGTAGTCGGCCAGGGGCAGCAGCGGTGCCGGTGGCGGTGCCGGTGGCGGCTCGCTCTGCCACCGCGGCTTCTTGCTCAGGTCGATGGGACCCTCGGCGTCGGGGCTGGCGCGGGGCTCGGGGACGGGCGGCTCGGCGGGCGGGGGCTCGGTGGGCGGCGGGGGCTCGGCGGGGCGGCGTGCGGCGCCGTGGATCTCGTAGAGCCTGCGGCGCTTGCGGGTGCGCAGCGGCTGCGGCACGAAGGGCGCCTTGGGGCCGGCGGGGCGGCGCAGCGGAGGGTCGTGCCGGGAGGCGCAGTAGAAGCGCTTGTGCACCACGTAGGTCTCGTGGCGGCTGAAGCGGATGTTGCACGCCTCGCACAGCGTCTTGCTGGGGTCCTCGTCCCCCTCGTCCCCCGCCGAGCTGACCGGGCTCTGGCTGTCCTCGCTGCACCGCCCCGAGCCCCCCTCCGCCTCGGGGGACCCCGCTTTGGTGCCCCCCTCTTCCGCCTTGCCCTCCGGCGCGGTGCCCGGCGGGGTGGCATCGCAGCCGGCGTCCCCGTCCCCCGCCGCCGGGCCCTGCCCGTTGCCCGCCGGAGGGGAGAGCAGCGTGCCCGGGGCGAGGGGACCCTTGGGTGCCCCGGGGGTGGCTTTGAGCTTGCGTGTCCCGGGGGGGCTGTCCTCGGCCAGGTGCCGGCTGGAGCAGTACAGGCGCTTGTGCACGTAGTAGTTGTTGATGTTGTTGAAGGTGATCTCGCACTCGAAGCAGGTGGCCCCCTTGGGCACCGGCGTGCCCGCGTAGATGGCGGGCGGCACCGCGCCGCCGTGGCCTTGCTTCAGCCGGCTGTGCACCAGCTCCGACATCTTCGCCAGGATCTCCGAGGCCTGCGGCACCACCGTGGCCTCGTGGCCGAACACGTACTGCGGGAGGAAGACGGTGCCGCCGGCCGTGCCCGTGCCCGGCTCGCTGGGCACGGGGCTGGAGCCCGGCGTGGGGCTGGCGAGCTCCGACTTGACCTTGGCCGAGGACAGGCTGCGGGGGGACGAGGTCCGGGAGCCGGCCTCGGGGCTGCCGGCCCCCTCCCCGCTCCTCGGCGCCTCCGCCTCGCTGGCCGGGCTGCCGGCCGGCTCCTCCTTGACGCGCACGGGCTCGCCGGACGTGGAGGAGGAGGAGGATGCTGATGAAGGCCCTTCCCCGTTCTGTGGCTGGGCTGGGGGTGAGAGTTTGCCAGCCCTGGGGTCGGGGGGCGAGGCGGGCGGTGCCGGTACCGGTGCCGGTGCGGTGTCGGGGCCGGGCAGCACCATGTGCTGCGGCAGGGCTGGCAGCGCCTCGGGCAGGAACGCGCTCAGGCTGCACTTCCGCAGGGACGCGTTGTTCGGCTGGCTCAGCCCTGCGGGGGGACAGAGGTGACAGCGTCACCGGCAGCCCCGGCACGGGGGCGATCAGCACCGGCATCACCGGGAACACCAGCACGGGGCTGATCAACACCGGCATCACCGGCACGGGGATGATCAGCACCGGCATCACCGGGAACACCGGGAACACCGGCACGGGGGCGATCAGCACCGGCATCACCGGGAACACTGGACAGGGATGATCAGCACCGGCATCACCAGAAACACCGGCATGGGGCTGATCAGCACCGGCATCACCGGGAACACTGGACAGGGATGATCAGCACCGGCATCACCAGGAACACCAGCACGGGGCTGATCAGCACCGGCATCACCGGGAACATCGGCACAGAGATGATCAGCACCGACATCACCGGCACAGGGATGATCATCACTGGGAACACCGGCACAGGGATGCTGCCCTGTCCCCCCCGTTACTGACACCCCCAGGGCAGGATCCTCACCCCGTTCCCTGTCCCACACGTCCTGGCAGAGAGATCCTTGCCGTGTCCTCTTCCCAACACCCCTGGCACAGGGACGCTGCTCTGTTCCCCACCCCGACATCCTGCCACAGGGCCACTGACCCATCCCCACCTCCCTTCCCACCAGCAGACCCAGCTGGGGACAATCCCTCGGTGACAATGCCATCCCGCGTGTGTCCCCCGTGGCCGCAGCGCCAGCACTCACCAGGAGCGAGGGGTTTGGCAGCGGGAAGGGCCGATCCAGGCGAGAACACCTCACCCTTGGAGCCCGGCTGGCAGATCATGTGGTTGGTGACCAGGTGGCTGTACAGGATGTCCCTCGTGGTGGAGATGAAGCCGCAGCTGTGGCAGACACCTGGGGGGGGACAGAGCAGCGGGCTGAGCAGGAAGGACAGCGCCCATCCCTGGGAGGGGACAGGGCTGTCCCCGGGCCACACTCACCGTTCAGGGTGTCCGTGTGCACCTTGAGGTGCCGCTCGCAGTTGGCCTTGGTGGTGAAGGCAGACAGGCAGATCAGGCAGACAAACGGCCGCTCTCCTGCCGGACAGACGGACACTCAGCGCTCAGGGGAGGGGGACAGGGACTGTGGGGACGCCCACAGCGCCAGCTCCCTCTGTCTCTACGGCTCTGAGATGGGGGAATGTTGAAGACTACTTTAGGAAAAACTTCTAGCTTATGCTTCTAAAGAAAGGCTTGGCAGTTTCTTGTTGTTTGGTTTTACGGTTGTTTATTGCAAGTTACCTAAAAGATTGGTTTTTTTGGGCTGCTGTGGTTTGCTCAGGTACACACGCCTTTGACATCTTTTTGGTTTGCTGTTTTTTTTTTTTTTGTTTCTGCTTTTGGTTGCTGTTATTTTTTTATATGGTATATTACGTGTTATATGTCTATAGTTTTTCTTTAATATTTATTATTTATATTAAATGGTGTTTTTTTAAATTTTAAATTAATTTGTGAATGTTAACATTACTAAAAACATGGAGGTAAGGAAGAAGAAAGAGGAAGGACAGGACTGGCTAAAATCTTTCTATTTTGAAACTTTTGACCCCCATGTATAAAACTAAAACCCTGCTGGATAAGCATTAAAACCCCCCTGTATAGCACTTTTTTTTTTTTAATTTTGTGACTATTTCTATTATAATATTTAAACTTTTGTGACTTTTTGTTCTTCTTGTAAGGTTGATAAATCATTCTATGGTTTAAACTCAAAATTATAGCCGCTTTCAGCTGCCTGCTAGGGTTTTAAACGCTTTTGACTTGGAACTTCCAAAAATGTCTGAGGGACATTTTGAGTTCCCACAGGGGAAGACCCACAAGTGAGCCGTGCCAAAGCAGTGACCCAGCTGGGGAGAGGCTCATCCCAGTGCTCGGAGCGCTCCAGCCCTGCAGCCTCCCTGCCCCTGCAGCAGCTCAGCCGGGCTCAGCCTCCTCTGGCCGCTCACCACGCTGCCCCCCTGGGGGAATGCAGGGCTCCCCAGAGCTGCCAGGGGGTCAGAACCCCCCTGGACAGAGCCCCAGAGACACTGGCTGTGATCTCTGTCCATGAAAAGAGTTTTCAATCTCACAGGATCAATTACCAGCTCTGAGGGTTTGATATCAGTAATAATTAAGTGTGGCATAGGTGCAAAAGTAAAATTTTAGGATTCTAGATGAGGGGTCCAAAGGGGACAAGATGGAGGAAATTGGGTGTGCCTTGTCCTTTTTCTCCTTCTTCATGCCCTCCATGTCTCACTGTGATGTTGGCATTTTTCTGTTGGTTCAGGCTGGGGACACACTGTCCAACGTAGGTGACAGATATTGGCACGTTCTTGTAAATGCAGCCCAGGGAGTTTCTGGTATTTAATGTTTGTCACATCCCACTGAGGGCAGAGCCCCACACGCTGCCCTGCAGGACAGAGCTGGGCAGGGCAGCAGAACATGTGAGAGATCAACAGAATAAACAACCTGGAAACCAGCACAGACCAATTATGGCTTCTGCTTTGGCAGAGGGGCAGAAAGACAGAGACTTTCCACAATCTCAGAATCATCCACACCACAGATTCCGACACCTCCCCAAAGCCTCCAGACTAGGGCTGCCATGCCGTGCCGTGCCGTGCCATACCGCTGTGGCTCCGCATGTGGATCTCCAGGGAGCTGGCACTGGGACAGCTCTTCTTGCACTGTGGGAAGGGGCAGACCCTCTCGTTGGGATACGTCTCCTTGGGCTTCTCGTCCAGGGCCGGGGAGCCGGCGCCGGCGCTCTGCCGGCTGGCGCAGTAGTACATCAGGTGGGCCTGGAGGTTGCGCTCGCTGCGGTACCAGATCCCGCAGTCCTTGCAGGGGAACACGTCCTCTGTGGAGAGGCAGGCACGGGGACACCGCTGTGGGACAGCCTGCGGGGGCCTGGCAGGGCTGTGGTGCTGTGTGTCCCTCCCTGTGTGTCCCTCCCTGCATGTCCCTCATCTATATGTCCTTCCATGCATGTCCCTCCCCACTTGTCCCTCCCTGTGTGTCCCTCATCTATATGTCCTTCCATGCATGTCCCTCCCTGCATGTCCCTCATCTGCGTGTCCCTCCATACATATTCCTCTCAGTGTGTTCCTCCCTCCATGTCCCTTCCTGTGTGTCCCTCCCCATGTGTCCCTCCCTGTGTGTCCCTCCATACATGTCTCTTCCCGTGTGTCCCTTTCTCTGTGTCCATTCCCATGTGTCCCTCCCTGCATGTCCCTCATCCGTGTCCCTCCCCATGTGTCCCTCCCTCCATGTCCCTTCCTGTGTGTCCCTTTCTGTGTCTCTTCCCACGTGTCCCTCCATGCATGTCCCTCATCTGTGTCCCTCCATACATGTTCCTCCCTGTGTGTCCATCCCTCCATGCATGTCCCTCATCCGTGTCCCTCCCTCCATGTCCCTTCCCGTGTGTCCCTCCATGCATGTCCCTCCCTGTGTCCCTCCCCGTGTCCTTCCCCGTGTCCCTCCCTGCATGTCCCTCCCTATGTGTCCCTCCCTGTGTCCCTCCCCGTGTCCCCAGACTCACTGTTGACCACGGCGGTGGCCAGGATGGCGGCCATGCCAGCCTGCTGTGGCAGCAGCTGGATGTCCGAGTGCAGCGCCGCCGGGTACGGGGACTCGCCGGGCTCCGCCTTCACCCCGGGCTTGGGGACAGCTGCTGGCTCTGCCACCACCAAGGCGCTCAGGGGCTCGTCCTCCCGCAGCGCGCGCGCCGTGCGGCACCACAGGCCTTCCTCTGGGAAGGGACGGTGGTGAGCAGGGACTGCTGGGTCCTGTCCTGCCCCTTCTGGATCCTGTCCTGGGTCCTGTCCTGCCCCTCTGGATCCCGTCCTGCCCCTTCTGGATCCTGTCCTGCCCCTGCTAGATCCCGTATTGGGTCCCGTCCTGCCCCCGCTGGGTCCTGTCCTATCCCCGCTATATCCCGTCCTGCCCTGCTGGATCCCGTCCGGCCCCTCTGGATCCCATCCTGGGTCCCATCCTGCCCCTCTGGATCCCGTCCTGGGTCCTGTCCTGCCCCTCTGGATCCCGTCCTGGGTCCGGTCCTGCCCCGCTGGGTCCTGTCCTGCCCCTGCTGGATCCCGTCCTACCCCGCTGGATCCCGTCCTGGGTCCCGTCCTGCCCCTCTGGGTCCCATCCTGGGTCCCGTCCTGCCCCTCTGGATCCTGTCCTGGGTCCTGTCCTGCCCCTCTGGATCCTGTCCTGCCCCGCTGGGTCCCGTCCTGGATCCCGTCCTGCCCCGCTGGGTCCCGTCCTGGGTCCCGTCCTGCCCCGCTGGGTCCCGTCCTGGGTCCCGTCCTGCCCCTCTGGATCCTGTCCTGGGTCCTGTCCTGCCCCTGCTGGATCCCGTCCTGCCCCTCTGGGTCCCATCCTGGGTCCCGTCCTGCCCCTCTGGATCCTGTCCTGGGTCCTGTCCTGCCCCTGCTGGATCCCGTCCTGCCCCGCTGGGTCCCGTCCTGGATCCCGTCCTGCCCCGCTGGGTCCCGTCCTGGGTCCCGTCCTGCCCCGCTGGGTCCCGCCGTGCCCGGCCCGGCCCCGCGGTCCCGGCCGCCGCCTCCTGCCGGCCGTGGCCTGGAGATGGCGCTGTGTGCCCGCGCTGGGCCCGCGGAGCCGCCCGGAGCCGCCGCTGGGCTCGTGCCCGTCTGAGCACTTATCCCAGTGCCCATCCCTGCGGGATCCCTGGGACATCCCGGGACATCCC